CCTGAAGGGAGAAGAGCTGCAGAGAAAACTGATTTGGGAAGATCAGATGTACAGTGATATAATTCAGCAAGACTTTATTGATTCTTTCTACAATCTTACTCTTAAATTACTCCTGCAGTTCAGCTGGGCAAATACTTTTTGTCCCCATGCCAAATTCCTTATGACTGCTGACGATGACATATTTATTCACATGCCAAATCTTATTGAATACCTTCAGAGTTTAGAACAAATGGGTGTACAAGACTTTTGGGTCGGCCGTGTTCACCGGGGAGCCCCTCCCGTCAGAGACAAGAGCAGCAAGTACTATGTCTCCTACGAAATGTACCAGTGGCCAGCTTACCCTGACTATACTGCTGGGGCTGCCTACATAATCTCTGGAGATGTGGCCGCCAAAGTCTATGAGGCATCCCAGACACTCAATTCCAGTCTTTACATAGACGACGTGTTCATGGGCCTCTGTGCCAATAAAATGGGGATAGCACCACAGTACCATGTGTTTTTCTCTGGGGAAGGCAAAGCTCCCTATCATCCCTGCATCTATGACAAAATGATGACATCTCATGGACATGTTCAAGATCTGCAGGACCTCTGGAAGGATGCCACAGATCCTAAAGTAAAAAACATCTCAAAGGGGTTTTTCGGTCAGTTATACTGCAGGTTAATTAAAATAGTTCTCCTTTGCAGATTGACCTATATGGACACCTATCCTTGCAGGGCTGCATTTGTCTAATGTACTTGAATGTTGTATGTCTTCACTGTCACTGAGCCAAACCTGGATGGAAACCTTTCAATGTTGTCTATACAAAAGAAGATGAAAGAAATATTTTGATAGCCTGGTCTATCAGAATATTTCTTTGATTCTAGAACTATTTGGTATAACTTACATACTTCATCACCTAAATTCATTTCAAGGGATTCATACGCAGAAAAGGTTTATACTAATGGAAACAGAACTAAAGGGAAACTCAAGTCATGCCATATAGACCTGGGGAGTAGAGAAGTTCTGAAGAAGCCTTGGTGTTAGAATAACTCTTTTTGGAAAATACCAAGTGAATGTGTAGCACAGCACTTCAAAGAAATGAATGTCTTGTTTGACCAGGTAGACAAGTTTATTTCTGTTAAAGAGCACTGGGCAGAGGTGGTGGTGGCAGAGAAAGATTGGCATAGGAAGATGTACATGAATCTGCTTTTAAAAAAGTCTCTTGTTCTTAAAAGGTGTAGAAAAAAAATGTACATGCTTTGATTATAAACAGCCAACTCAGTGTCTCGTCCATGTAGCTGTTTTACCTACAGAGTGTTGGGAGTCATTTAAAATACATTTACATCCCCTTTTCAAAGTTTAATGTGAAATTTTAGAAAAGGCATTAGCTCAGCCCTAACTAGTTTTTTGTTGCTGTTTCAAATATTGGAAAATGACATGAAACGTAGTCAGTTTATTGCCCAGAGGGCCTTCCTCTAGACAGAAATCGTTGTTAATTCGAATAAGATGATTTTAACTTAATGAATTTTTCAACTTTTTAAAATACTCAATATTGGTCCATATTTATAAGGTAGTTATTTGAGTGTAATTTGCCTAGATGGAGGAGACCTCAAAAGGAGTGATGGAATATAAAAGTTTGCTTCATAACTGATAGAATGAAACCTTACTGTCTAAATCATTGCACTGATGTAGCTTGTCCTTCCGTAACAGAGTGTCATGAACCACAGAACTTTGTTCCAAGTTCATCATTTTAAATTGACAGCATTAAATGCCTGATCAAAGCTGTAGTACCTAAAACAGCCATTCTCAAATAACTATCAGAATGCTCTTTAACTTTTAAATGTTTCAAACTTGAAAGCGGAATAAGATAAAAATAAAAGTGATAGAAAAGTTGTCAGGATGAGGGTTAAAGCATGTGTAAAGTGCCTGTTTCTTGTCATCAGAGATGTAGCTGAGATCTAAGAGTCATTTACGCTTATTTTACGAAGTGGGATAAAAACGTGGCCACGATGCACACAACATTTGCTCGCCACAGAAAGAATCAGGTGATGTTGATTGCTAGGGACATTCTATGAAGGCCAAGATCATGGCGTCAGCAAAAGGGCTTGAAGTGATTGTAAAACCTTTGACTGCACAGCACTGGTTAGGGAAAACTAACAAGGTCTTATTTCTTAAGATTATGTAAAAACCATGCAAAACAGAGCCACAAAGGGTTTCTCAGTGCATACAACTGGATGATGTTGGTCATTCTTAGCAGGTAGCTACTTAATGTTTACAGATATGTTTTGTTCAATTTTTTTTCTATTTTGAAGTTTGAGGCTTGTTTACATTGCTTAGGTAACTTAGTATTTTTAACCAATGCCAAAACTCTCGCATCAGACATTCTAGGTTGTATTTAGCTTTCAGAGTAGATTCAGGGTTATAGATCATTATAGTTTTCTGACCAATTAAAAAAAAAACTGCAGAGACAAAAGCACATTTTGACAAAGCAGCTTTATAATGAATTTTTCTTAGTTGAATAACCATTTGCTTTGGGCCACATATACCCCACCTGTCTGTACTAAGAACTATCTAAGCTTGCCACTGAGTGAAAACAGCAGTGTCTCCGGCCAACGAAATGATCTTGTTTACAACAATATTTTTGTGAAATAGTTATTTATTTGCTGAAAGAGATCTCTTAAACTGTGTTCATCTTTTTATTTTTGCTAGAACTCAGTGGAACAGATTTAAATTCAAGGAAATATGAAGGCACTTCCTCTTTTTTTTTTAAGAAGGAAGTCGCTAGATGATTCCTTCATCAGACTAATGGTACTGAGAAGAGTATTTGTAAATAAAAGGTCTCCAACCTTTTAAAAAGGAAGGAAAAAACTTTTTGGTGCTCCAATGCAGGGCTATCTTTTTAAAAAATGTCAACAAAGGGAAAAATGAACTATGAGCCTGGATGGTCACTTGAGTAGAAGATGGTTATTATACACAGTGTTATTGTTATAAACTTTTTACCTCTTGGTTGGTTTGCCTCTATTTTCCATATTATTAATTTTGTACCAAAATGTTAAATATTTATATTATTTGAATTTTGCTCTTGTATGGCAAAATAATTAGTGGATTTTAAATATATATATATCATTTCCAATAAACAACTTAAAAACTGTCACAGATGCCTGTTTAGACTCCTGCATTAATGCCATGTGTATCATCAGCTCACTTCCTTTGACCTCAGAGGTGTGGATCCCACACCATCATAGTCCTGTTGCTGTTGGCACCCCCGCTGCATTATGGGATACCTGAGAAGTTGGTGGAATGACTTAGACTGGAATGTCTAGGTGGAGGATGTGCTCTCCCCTAGTCATCTGTACAGAAAGGTTGAGATAACCTGTAGCCACGCTGCCCTAAAACACCATTGCAATAACTGTCAGAAAACAGATTCGAATGTAGCCCTGGTGTCTCAGTGTCAGGAATGATTTTCTCCCTCCATCAGTCTTCAGTGCTTTGGTGTACTTGTGTATAGAATGTGGTCATCTATTTTTCACCTGTTCCTGTCTTCAGTTCTTGACATAGTTTATAGTGTGATTCAAACTGAGTATATTTTTTTAAAAAAATTGGAAGTATCTCAATTATTTGGTTGCAGAACATTGTACTTCTAAGGAATGGTGGAGGTGTTTGGAACTAAGTGATGATGACCTCGAAGAATCAACTTGACCTGCCTTGAGGCCAAGTTAATTGGACATCATAGCTGCAGCGGGAATAGGACCGAGCACTGCAAGGTCACTGGTTCCACTTCGGTGATTTGAGGAATGCTAGATGTCTCCTGGCCCTGTTCTCCCTCCAGTAACTGCACTGTCTTAATCGCAGCTTTCATTACAGTAGTCCTTCGCTGCAGACCTCAAAGGCTCCTTCTGCCTGCGCTCCGGCAGCAGATCTAAACTGTTCTCTCCAGGTTTCAGGGCGCAAGGCAGTCTTTCCTCCTCCGTCCCTGGTAGCCTGCTGGTACCCTCTGCCACATTATCCAACGCTACTGTCGTTCCTGAGTGTACCTGGCTTAAGTCGGTTTCCCTTGCCAGGAAGACTGTTTCTCCTATACCTGATGAAATCTTCCAAATCCAACCCTGCCTTCTCTCCTTAAGCATCTCCTACCCTCTCCAAATCTGTATTTTATCACATACATTATTGTACTACCTACTGTTTATTCTCGGTTTTAGTAATAGAAAAGGCCCAGAAGATAAACTACCATTTAAGGAAAAAAAACAAACCACATCATTGCCAATTTGTGCTTGTCAGAGCTGACCTCACTAAACTCTCACTTTCAGATACACTGAACTGGGCCATTCACACAGTATTGAAGTATAGATGTTAGTCAGTGAGACCCTGTACTTCCTTAAAGTGAAAGAAAATTACTAGTCTAATAATTAGCTTTAATCAAGGGCAAGTCCTTAAGATGTTTGTTCATTCATTCTGCAAGTATTTGGAAGCCTGGAAGAGCCAAGCACCATAGACTCTGGGGATAAAAGCAACCTACAAGACAAATGGTGTAGATATAACAAATCATGTGGCTTGCTGGCATAGGGGTTCTGATGGGGTTCTGAGTGTAAAGTGTTTTTTAAATCTCTGGGTTTTCCTCTCTTGGGCGTTCCCTCCCTAACCTAGGCTTTGTGAGCTGCACAACAACCACATGTATGCAAACACCTTCCTGTAGGTAAAATTAGCATTACATTTGCCTAAATTGTGTCTTTGGGGAACAGAAAGCCTTTCATTGTGTTTAAACCAATAATTCAAGTAATAATCAATATGACTTTACCTGTAGTCTCCTGGTAATCCAGCTTTGGAAGCACGGGGCCTGTGGTTTGGTTTATAAGGTGTCATTTTCAATTCTTTTACTTACCTGCTTTTGTGAGATTCATGAGTTTTGTTCTTGGGTACATAAATGAAGTTTATAGAAAAAGACTGTGAACCGTCAGTGAGGAGGTTTAGGACAGGCTGCCCTGCCCTCTGCCCACCACCCCCATTGGGTCCGCAGCCTTACCTGCTGGGAGGAAGGCCCTGTCCAGTGTCCAGCTGTGCCCGCCCAGGGTCCTCCCCAGCGTGGTGACATTCAAGTATTTCTTCATTCTGAAGTGAAAGAAATTGAGGTGAGGATTGATACTTTGGTGGCCTCTTCATCTATGTATTTTCCTTTCCCCCAGTTCCTCTGAGTTTGGTTTTGATTCTGATTGTCTGCATAAACAACATATGCAGGTTTCTCGTTCTGTACTTGCTTTCTGGGGTTCTCCCCTGCCATTCTGTGTCTGTTAGAGTTCGCCACCTAGGCTTCCTCTGGGGATGTCAAAAACTCTGCAGAGCAGGTCTCCTTCCTTAGTCACGAAGGGCTATTCACATCTGCCTGCTCTTCTCACTGATTCATTAAAAAGACTCAGGGTTTGAGCTAGAAGGGACAGAAAAGAGATAATTGGTCTTAACATTTCCTTTTTTGGATGTAAAATCAAGGTCTAAAGAAGTTGTGACTTGCCCTGGGCCACAAAGAGCTAGAGATGAGGTAAGCCCAGCGCTGGCTTCCCCAGACTGCTGACCCCAAGCCCCACCCATTCCCCCACTTCCTTGAGCAGCTGGTTCTCCAGGTGGTGGGTAGGGGTGGTCACCAGAGCAGGTCCAAAGCCAGCTGGTGCTTGGAAGTTCTCCCATTTTCCAGCTGTGCGATCTGGGGCAAGCTCACTCTCTGCCTCTATTTTTCACCTAGAAGAAGGAGGCACTACCTACCTGCCCTGGCCCCTGGTGAGGATTAAATGAGAAAGTGTGTAGATACTTTATCTAGTGCCTGGAAGGTAGGGAACATTCAGATTCTGGCTAACCATCCACTTCTTTCTAGTTAAAAATTTCGTGATACCTTCCTCGCTATCCATACATTTTGCAAATTCACTTCATTGTTAAAACTGTATTTTCCTGAGATCAATTTGAGTAGGAGTCTTGCTTTTTTGAGAATTAAGTGCCTAGTGTTTCTCTAAAAAGAGCTGTGCTTATTTAATTTCTAGAAAACACTTCGTATAGATTCGCATACATGTGATATAAACAGTCTAGAAGGTGATAATGTGCTGAGAGTTTTAAGTTAATAAAGGGATGAATTCTTAGTATGTCTTAGAAGATTTTTTTTGAAGTGAAGATCATAAGTTTTTTAACCTGTGTTTGCCATTTAGGTTTCTCATTGAATCACCTTTTTACAAAAATTCTAATTTTTCCCACCTTTGCCACTAGAACCATTCAAACAGTACTAATCAAACAGTGCTTTAACAAAATTACAGTGAATATTGATGAAAACCTGTCACCACTGTGCATGTCTGTGTGTGTGTGTGTGTGTGTGTGTGTGTGTTGTGGTATAGACTCATCTCTAAAAAACAGAAACAATAATCCTTATGGAGCTAATCCCTCATTGTTAGGTCTGGAATAGCTCGGGGCTCGTACCCCCAGAAAGAAGAGAAGGAAAAAGGAGTCGGGAGACCGACCTCAACAGAGACAGGTTGCTTTATTGTGCTTTATTGGAAGCAAAGAGGTTGGCGACGGTCTGTTCTTGTGATAGGGGGGCATGCAGAAGGCAGCTGGCGGAAGAGTAGGGGCTCTTTGAGGTCGGGAATTTCCCTCTGATCTATCTCATAGCTGCCCTGTGCAGCTTATCTGCTTTGCCATTCACGTTGCAAGGAGTTGAGAAGGGTCTGTTTAGGCACCAAGGATGAGGAAATGGGGAGGGGGGAGAAAGGGAAGAGAGGAAAGGCACAACAAGTCCTTTACTCATGGTAAAATTTTTTATTATTGATCATGTATTTTTAGAGAACCAAATATCTAAGATTTTAATTACTTTACATTTAGAAGCTTAATTTCTATGAAGTAATTTAAATTTAAATTAATTTTTTTTTAATTTACCTGAGAGGCAGAACAGAAAAAGACAGAACTCCCACACAGTGATTCACTCCTCAAATGCCCACAATGGCTAGGGCAGGCCTGAGGCCAAAGCCAAGAGGCAGGAGCATAATCCAGCAAGCTAGCTGTCCCACGTGGTGGCAGGAACCCAATCACATGAGCCAACATGACTGCCTCTCAGTGTCAGCATTTTTAAAAAAATATTTATTTGAAAGGCAGAGTTACAGAAAGAGAGAAGGAGAGACAGACCTGATCTTCCATCCATAGGTTCACTCCCCAAATTGGGTGGTAGCAGCCCAAGCACTTGGGCCATCTTTGCTGCTTTCCCAGGCACATTAGCAGGGAGCTGAGTTGGAAACAGAGGAGCCAGGAATTGAGCCGGAGCTCATATGGGATGCTGGCATTGCAGGCTCCATCATGCCAGCCCCAGCATCTGCATTATTAGCAAGGAGTCAGAGGCAGACATGAAATCCAGGCACTCCAGTTAAGGCAAACTTAAGTGACGAGAGAGTAAATCATTTACACAGGAACAAAATATAAATCAGTGAGTGAATAAATACTTGGTTGTAAATTGTCCATTCTGAAAAAGCACTCCCATTTCAAAGTTTTTCTTTTTAGGTGGGGTTTATTGGTGTGTAAGTTACTCTTGATGAAATGAGATTTTTATATGTATGTTTTGTTGTGTTCTAACACACATGTACAGCCACAAAACCACCACAATCAAGATATAGAATATTTCTAGCCCCCCTAATTCCCTTAGATTCCTTGCAGTCACCCCAGCTCCTGGCAACCACTGCTCTGATTTCTGTCCTTATAGTTTTGCTTTTTCCAGGATGCCATGTATATGGAATATGCAGCTTCAATTTTTTTAAATGTTATTTATTTGAGAGGCAGAGAAACAAAGAAAGAGAGAGTCCCCATCTGCTGGTTCACCCCCAGATAAACACAACTGCCAGGGGTCTGAAGCTGGGAGCCTGGAACTCAATCCAGGTCTCCCCCATGGAGGGGAGAAGCCCAATGACTTGAACAATCACCTGTTGCCTTCCAGGGCTTGCACTAGCTGGAAGCCGGAACCAGCAGCTGCAACCAGGAGTTGAACCCAGGTACTGCAAAGTAGGACACCTAACCAGCATCTTAACCACAAGGCCAAATGCCTGTCCCACAGTGAGCTGCCTTCTGAGTCTGGCTTCTTTCACTGATGGCTCTTGTGATACATTCCCACTGCTGCCTCCATCAGCAGTCAAGTATTTTTATTGCTGAGTAGTATTCATCATTATGGGCATCCTACAATTTGTATAAACTTTTCAAGAAATATTTTTAATGGTGCACTAGAAATATTTAAGCTTTATGCCTCCGATTATTGTTGTGTATAACCAAGCAGGCTCACTCTCACCTTCTTTGCAAGGGGACTTCCCAGTCATTCCTTTATCTCGGTAAAGTTCATCCTTCAACTTCTTTTTTTGTTTGTTTGTTTTTAAAGATTCATTTATGTATTTGAAAAGCAGAGTTTCAGAGGGGGAGGGGAGACAGAAATCATCTATCTGCTGGTTTACTCCCCAAATGGCTGCAAAGGCCGGAACTGGGCCAATCCGAAGTCAGGAATAGCAGTTTCTTCCGGAACGCCCATGTGTGTGCAGGGGCCCAAGGATTTGGGCCATCTTTTGCTGTTTTCCCGGGTTCATTAGCAGGAAGCTGGGTCAGAAGTGGAGCAGCCACTTTACCTGCTACACTACAGCACTGCCAGCCTCTCTCCTTAAACTTAATTTGCAAGGAAACTTTATGTTTACTCATTAAATCTCCCTTAACAATACTTTCACAAGAGGGCCTTTTCAGAATCTATACTCTCTTTTGTGAGCATGTAAAATAACTCATTTTAAAAAATTCATTTAAACCTGACTTATAGAGCCTAAGTGCTGTCTGCGGTTGGCGAGCTGCTAACAGTGCAACCACAGGCCTCTCTCTGCACTCAGAAAGCAGGCAGGGGATTGTTGCTTTAGTGTTACCCACAGTGCTGACCACAAGGCAGCAACTTTAAAATGTTCAGTGGACTAAAGAACACCACGGGTATTTAGTCTTTCTTGTAGGTGTCTTGTAGATGTCTTCCCAAATCTGGTATCATTTCCCAGAAAGCAAGCTCATAAAGATGTGGCTGGGATACCAGTACTGCCAACTCAACTCTAAAATAAAGTGGCCATCTCACATCCTAAGATTATGCATTTTTTTCCCCTTTTAAAATAGGATGTCTGCCGGCGCTGTGGCTCAATAGGCTAATCCTCCACCTAGCGGCGCCAGCACACCGGGTTCTAGTCCCGGTCGCGGCGCCGGATTCTGTCCCGGTTGCCCCTCTTCCAGGCCAGCTCTCTGCTGTGGCCAGGGAGTGCAGTGGAGGATGGCCCAAGTGCTTGGGCCCTGCACCCCATGGGAGACCAGGAGAAGCACCTGGCTCCTGACATCGGATCAGCGTGGTGCGCCGGCCGCAGCGCGCCAGCTGCGGCAGCCATTGGAGGGTGAACCAATGGCAAAGGAGGACCTTTCTCTCTGTCTCTCTGTCTCTCTCTCTCACTGTCCACTCTGCCTGTCAAAAAAAAAAAAAAAAAAAAGGATGTCAGGTTGGGTGTTTGGTCTAGTGGTTAAGAAGCTGCTTGGAACACCAGCTTCCCAAACTGGATTGTCCGGGTCTGAGTCCTGACACTGCTCCCGATTCCAGCTTTCTACTAATGCACACCCTGGGAGGCAACAGGTGAAGCTCCAGTGTCTGGGTCTCTGCAGTAATGTGGGAGACCCAGACTGAGCTCCTGGCTCTGCCTTCTATCTGGCCCAGTCCCAGCTGTTGCAGGCATCTGAGGAAGGAACCAATGAATGGGACCTCTCCCTGTCTCTGTCTCTCTGCTTATCAAAATAATAATAATAATAAAATAAAACAGGACGTCATTCTAATAAGAAACTACATTTTAGTTCCCTCTATTATATACTCATATATTTGACTCATGAGTCAATATACAAAAGTAAGAACCAGTCCCAGGATTCAAATTCAAACTAATCCAGCTATTTTCACAACACGTCCAAAGCTCTTTCTCCACATTTTCTTTGTAAGATGGAACTAACGCATACGGTTACAGTCACATCGTATCCTTTCGCAGTTCTTCATCCAGCACGGTAATACAGCTGAATTACACACTGGACTTTGAAATTCGGTCTGACTC